GGATTTCTCCTTGCTCTAAAGTGAAGACCACCTGGAATTTCTTATTCAGTTCCTCACACACTGCCTTGTCGTTTGTAGTGAATCCTTCTGCTCCTATCCTAAATTTCATAACCTGTTCCTTTGCTGTTGTTTTTCTCCTGATGTGGCTATGCAGCAATTTAGGCTGAGTCTTTGCCTTGCTTGCGATGTCATTTTCGTTTTGTTTTTCCTGCTTCTCTTCTCATCCTGACATATTCATTCCTGGCATTCTGGTATCTTTCTCTGCTCTCCAGTGTCCTGTTATTCCTATAGTTTCTACATGTCCTTTTACTTTGCTGCTTAGCTAGCCTACATCTCTGATTAAACCATGGGTTTCTCATCTTCATTTCACTGTTTTCCTTTTGGACTGGGACAAAATTGTTAGGTGCTTCCTTGCACTTCTGGGTGATGTAGTCCATCATGTCTTGGGCCGTCTTTCCCACTGAGCTCTGTTTCCCATGCTATATCTGTTAGGAATTTTCATATCTCCTCATAGTTTCCCTTTCGGTATGTCAACCTTTTTTATTTTCAGTATCCCTCCTCGAGTTCAATAACCCTTCTTCAATCAGGTATTCAAACACAAGTACACAGTGGTCGCTCATTCCTACTGGGGCTTCAAAACCGATTTATCTTATGTCGGAGTCGTTCTGAGTTAAGACTAGGTCGAGTCTCGTTGGTTGGTCATTTCCTTTCATCCTTGTGGGTTCTCTGACATGCTGGGTTAACAAGTTTCTAGTCACCATCTCCAATAGTTTGGCTCTCCACGTATCCTCGCCTCCATACGATTCCTTGTTCTCCCAGTCAATCCTTCCGTGTTTGAAGTCGCCCATGCTGAGCAGGTGGGATCTATTTCTACAGGCAGCAGAGGCTGCCCTCTCAATTATAGTGTTAACTGCCATGTTGTTGTTTTCATACTCTTGACTGGGTCTTCTGTCATTTGGTGGAGGGTTGTATATTACTGCTACTACTATTCTTAGTCCTCCCATTGTCATGGTGCCTGCTATGTAGTCTCTGAACCCCTCACAGCCCGGGATAGCCATCTCGTTAAAACTCCATTCCTTTCTCATGAGTAGGGCCACTCCGCCTCCTCCCCTACCTTCTCTCTCTTTCCCTATTACTGTGTACTCCTGGGGAAACACGGCATTCGTTATGATTCCAGAGAGTTTTGTTTTAGTGAGTCCGATTACATCTGGGTTCACTTCTTGTGCTCTTTCCCTTAGTTCACTTGCCTTGCTTGTGATCCCATCTATGTTCGAGTGCATTGCCCTGAAACTGACTCTCTTCTGCTTCTCCTCTGGGAAAGGACCTGTGGGGTTTGGGGTGAGCGGGAGTTGGGAGGATCTGGTACAGGGAGCCTGGTGGAGGAGGAAGGGCTTGGGGGGGGGGGGGAGGGGGAGGGTAGGGGGATTGGGTGAGAGGGGGAAGGGGGAGAGTAGGGGGAGTGGGTGAGGGGGGAGGGTTGGGGGGTGGGTGAGAGGGGGGAGGGTTGGGGGGGTAAAAGGGGGAGGTTTGGGGGGGGTGAGAGGGGGAGGTTTGGGGGGATGGGGGAGAAAGGGGGCATTAAAGTGGGGAGAGCTTGGGGGGCATGGGGGGAAAGGGAAGGCTGAGGTGGTTGAGGAAGAGGGGAGGGTTTTGGGGAGTGGTGGGGAGGGGAAGGGTTATGTGGGGTAGGGGAGAGTGGGGGGCTTAGGGGGACGGGGGAGAATGGAGGGCTTGTGGGTGGGAGAGACGGGAGGGCATGTGGGAGAAGGGAGGGCTTGGGGGATGGGGGAAAAGGGAGGTCCTGGGGCGAGGGGGGAGTGGGGGAGTGTGTGTGTGTGTGTGTGTGTGTACTCACCTAGTTGTACTCACCTAGTTGTGCTTGCGGGGGTTGAGCTCTGGCTCTTTGGTCCCGCCTCTCAACCGTCAATCAACAGGTGTACAGGTTCCTGAGCCTATTGGGCTCTATCATATCTACACTTGAAACTGTGTATGGAGTCAGCCTCCACCACATTGCTTCCAAATGCATTCCATTTGTCAACCACTCTGACACTAAAAAAGTTCTTTCTAATATCTCTGTGGCTCATTTGGGCACTCAGTTTCCACCTGTGTCCCCTAGTGCGTGTGCCCCTTGTGTTAAATAGCCTATCTTTATCAACCCTGTCGATTCCCTTGAGAATCTTGAATGTGGTGATCATGTCCCCCCTAACTCTTCTGTCTTCCAACGAAGTGAGGTTCAATTCCCGTAGTCTCTCCTCGTAGCTCATACCTCTCAGCTCGGGTACTAGTCTGGTGGCAAACCTTTGAACCTTTTCCAGTTTACTCTTATGCTTGACTAGATATGGACTCCATGCTGGAGCCGCATACTCCAGGATTGGTCTGACATATGTGGTATATAATGTTCTGAAAGATTCCTTACACAAGTTTCTAAAGGCCGTTCTTATGTTAGCCAACCTGGCATATGCTGCTGATGTTATCCTCTTGATATGAGCTTCAGGGGACAGGTCTGGCGTGATATCAACCCCCAGGTCTGTCTCTCTCTCTGACTCTTGAAGTATTTCATCTCCCAAGTGATACCTTGTATCTGGTCTCCTGCTTCCTACTCCTATCTTCATTACATTACATTTGCTTGGGTTAAACTCAAACATCCATTTGTTCGACCATTCCTGCAGCTTGTCCAGGTCTTCTTGAAGCCTCAAGCTGTCCTCCTCTGTCTTAATCCTTCTCCGCATTTTGGCGTCGTCAGCAAACATTGAGAGGAATGAGTCTATACCCTCTGGGAGATCATTTACGTATATCAGAAACAGGAAGAACTCTCTGCTTCCTATTGCTTAGGTACTCCCTTATCCACTGGAGCGCCCTACCAGTTACTCCTGCCTGTTTCTCCAACTTATGCATCAACCTTTTATGGGGTACTGTGTCAAAGGCTTTCCGACAGTCCAAAAAAATGCAGTCCGCCCATCCTTCTCTTTCTTGCTTAATCTTTGTCACCTGATCATAGAATTCTATCAAGCCTGTAAGGCAAGATTTACCCTCCCTGAACCCATGTTGTTGGGTTGTCACGAAATCTCTTCTCACCAGATGTGTTACTAGGTTTTTTCTCACAATCTTCTCCATCACCTTGCATGGCATACAAGTTAAGGACACTGGCCTGTAGTTCAGTGCCTCTTGTCTGTCACCCTTTTTAAATATTGGTACTACATTAGCAGTCTTCCATACTTCTGGTAGGTCTCCCGTTTCCAGTGACCTCCTATACACTATGGAGAGTGGCAAGCTAAGTGCTCCTGCACACTCTTTCAATACCGATGGTGAGATTCCATCCAGCCCAACAGCTTTTCTCACATCCAGCTCCAATAGGTACTTCTTGACCTCATCTCTTGTAATTTCGAACCTTTCCAAGGTCACCTGGTTTGCTGCCACCTCTCCTAGCACCGTGACTTCTCCCTGTTCTATTGTAAAGACCTCCTGGAACCTTTTGTTGAGTTCTTCACACATCTCTTTGTCATTCTCTGTGTACCTGTCCTCGCCCACCCTAAGTTTCATCACCTGTTCCTTCACTGTTGTCTTTCTCCTGATGTGACTGTGTAGTAGCTTTGGTTCGGTCTTGGCTTTATTAGCTATATCATTTTCATACCTTTTCTCAGCTGCTCTTCTCACACTAACATTTTCGTTCCTGGTTCTCTGGTATCTCTCTCTACTTTCTGGTGTTCTGTTATTACGGAAGTTCCTCCATGCCCTTTTGTTCAGCTCCTTTGCTTTCATACATTCCCTATTAAACCACGGATTCTTCCTTTGCTTCTCTGTTTTTTCCTGTTGGGCTGGGACAAACCTGCTTACAGCCTCCTGACATTTTTGGGTGACATAGTCCATCATGTCTTGTACAGACTTAGTTCCGAGTTCTGTGTCCCAATGTATATCCCATAGAAATTTATTCATCTCCTCGTAGTTTCCCTTTCGGTACGCCAGCCCTTTGTTTCCCAGTTCTTTTTTGGGGGTGATAATTCCTAGCTCAACCAGGTACTCAAAGCTCAATACACTATGATCACTCATTCCCAAGGGGGCTTCCAACTTAACTTCCCTTATATCCGACTCATTTAGGGTAAATATCAGATCAAGCAAGGCTGGTTCATCCCCTCCTCTCGTTCTTGTCGGTCCCTTGACGTGTTGACTTAGAAAGTTTCTTGTTGCCACATCCAGCAGCTTAGCTCTCCATGTTTCTGGGCCTCCATGTGGGTCTCTGTTCCCCCAATCTATCTTTCCATGGTTGAAGTCTCCCATGATTAGTAGCCTGGATCCGTTCCTGCTAGCCACAGAAGCTGCTCTCTCTATTATATTGACAAATACTACCATCATTCATATTATTGACGACCAATTGTAATGTTTATTTGATGTAAAATTACCAATAAATTTTTGCATAAACTTTTGTGTAATTTATAAGATATTTTTATTATGGTAAGGTAATTATCAGGAGAAAGCAGGAGAATCTCATGATACATAAAGAAATTTTTCAATAATTATCAATAAATTTTGTTTAATTAAAATGAAAACTACAACCAGTATCTTTCATTTAACTTTCATATCTACAAAAAACTATATATTTGCATTAAAATATTAATATATAATACTGCAGGTATAATACCTGACTACGATTGAGAGTCCGTACGACACACTAAACTCTCATAAAAATTGCGTACTTTAGCAAAAGAGAAGACAGATTTTAACTGATTTTAATGTCTTCTTTCTTGAGATTTCTAACAAGTATGATTGAATGCCACGGTGTTGAAGATGCAGAAAGTTATCTATATATAGCAAAAACTATATACATTTTTATTATAATGAATTATGTTAATGAATTCGTGTTGGTGGAATCAAGCATAGATGTGTTTAATGATTTCTACAGTAAAGAACAATTTTCTGTAGACAATAAATATAAAGTTTCAGTTAAGTGAAGACATTTTATTTTATAAACTTGGAATCTATATCCTTCTATTTCTACTTTACAGAAAAGGTGCACCTTTTAGCCAGCGATTCAATCAACTGATAACCCGCCTGAATGCTGCAGGAATTATTACCTACTGGACTAAAGACTTAATAGGCAATATAGCGAGGGAGAAAAGGAAGGTTGTGAAAGAGGACACTGAGAATATCCATGGAGATGTATATCAGGTAAGTTTTATCTTATCCAGTCGATGAGGTGTGGAATATTTTGAACTTTCATGTCATAAGATCTTCTATTAACTTTCAATGCACCTTCCACTCTTGACGTGCAGGATGAAGGGCAGCAGGTGGTGCTGAGCCTCAACCATCTGCAGGGAGCCTTCTACGTGCTGCTGGTGGGCTCCTGCGTCGCCTTCCTCACCCTGCTGGGGGAGAACCTCACCCACTGCTGCTCCTCGCCTCAGTAACACCTTCCTCATCCTGCTGGGGGAGAACCTCGCCCACTGCTGCTCCTCGCCTCAGTAACACCTTCCTCATCCTGCTGGGGGAGAACCTCGCCCACTGCTGCTCCTCGCCTCAGTAACACCTTCCTCACCCTGCTGGGGGAGAACCTCGCCCACTGCTGCTCCTCGCCTCAGTAACACCTTCCTCACCCTGCTGGGGGAGAACCTCGCCCACTGCTGCTCCTCGCCTCAGTAACACCTTCCTCATCCTGCTGGGGGAGAACCTCGCCCACTGCTGCTCCTCGCCTCAGTAACACCTTCCTCACCCTGCTGGGGGAAAACCTTGCCCACTGCTGCTCCTCGCCTCAGTAACATCTTCCTCACCCTGCTAGGGGAGAACCTCGCCCACTGCTGCTCCTCGTCTCAGTAACACCTTCCTCACCCTGCTGGGGGAGAACCTCACCCACTGCTGCTCCTCGCCTCGGTAACTCCTTCCTCGCCTTGCTGAGGGAGAACCTCGCCCACTTCTGCTCCTCGCCTCAGTAACTCCTTCCTCGCCTTGCTGAGGGAGAACCTCACCCACTGCTGCTCCTCGCCTCAGTAACACCTTCCTCACCCTGCTGCTACTCACCTCAGTAACACCCTTCAAGTGTCTTACACTTAAATGTTTATGACAATTGTGCACGCTGTGTTATCCTTTATAGAATTCCTTGACATATAATTATTTTATCAAAATTATTCAATTATATGTAAAATTAATAAATATTTCGAAAATCATTTATTTAATAAACTGGCTACTACATTGAAAAATTCCATTGTGACCTACTACCTTCAACTTTTGGGAATCGAACTTTTCCACGCAAGACGAGACCGTTGGAGTACAAGACCAGGATGTTACATGGATGTTACACACACACTGAATACATATCAATGTCAATAAATACAGCATGTGTATGTGATTTCTTTGTGCATAACAATGACAGCATTTAAAATCATACTAGGTGTTTAAGGTATGAAGACACCACAGACTCAATACCTGGTTGATACCTGGTTGATGGGGTTCTGGGAGTTCTTCCACTCCCCAAGTCCGCCCCAAGACCAGACTTGACTTGTGAGAGTTTGGCTGTTGCTCGGAGCGGCCCGCAGGCCCACATACCCACCACAGCCCGGTTAGTCCGGCACTCCTTGAAGGAAACATTCTAGTTTCCTCTTGAAGATGTCTACGGTTGTTCCTGTAATATTTCTGATGCTCGCTGGTAGGACGTTGAACAACCGTGGACCTCTGCAAATATATTCAAGCAAAAATCTTCCAATATGTGTATATATATTGATGATTATTTTTGTCGTGCTATCTTCTAAATAATATCATATAATGAAGAAAGCTAAAATGTTTAGATACCATAAAATAATGTATTAAAGTTATATAAAAAAAATTCAGATGTTGAGATGTAGGCGCAGTGATGTATAAGTGTAATGGCACATGCAGATGATAAGTTACAATAACGTGACTGAAGATATGATGACCAAACCACACATCAGAAAGTGAAGAAACGACGACGTTCCAGTTCGTCTTGGACCGCCAAACACAACTTGATAATGGTACAGGACGGACCGAAACGTCGTTGTTTCTTCACTTCCCGATGTGTGGTTTGGTAATCATTTAATGGCTTACCATTCCTTCGTTTCTTAATATTATATTCGTTATGCAATGTAATATACCTGGACTAATACACCATTAGTAGACACTAATACTAAATAATGACTGATGTTTGTTTTTCCTTTAACAAATAATATACAATATAAAGAGCATATCTACATCAATTTAGAAGGGAAAATACTACATTTATATATAGTTTAAATAATTCTCAGTAAACCAGTTTTTCATATGATCACAGAACATGAGCCGTAAACATCAAACGTTATATCTGATCCTGCCTCACACGAACTTCAATATTTTGTCTACTGAATAACCCTCGTGCCTGCCTATCCACAAACAAAAAAATTTAATCAGAAAGTAGCAAAATTATTGTATTCTAAATTTTCTTGCATTTTATGTCAATATGAAACATTAAGAACCTCATTAAATCCATTCTAATGCTTAGTCCACATAAAGCTTTAAGAGGGTCTGTAATCTAGTTTACAAGAACAACTTTCTGCTTGCAGAAATAAAATATATGCATATTATTCTCAATTTCAGTACTTTGTCACACCTACTGTTGTCCTTAATGCCCAACATCAACAACGATCATTTGTAGGGAGGGTCTCATGAATATAGCAATACAATAGTTCACGTTGTTTTGGGGCAATAAACTTTACATGAAGGTTTGCCCATATTAATCGCATGTTAAAAAGTGGATGAGACTTCTAATCTTTGTTCGAAATAACTGAAAAACCCTTTAGAATTGGTCTTTGCTTGCCCTGCAATGCGAACTTTATAGATTCTTTTTGCTCTCTTTATCTCTTTTTTTAATTTAAGATTTCTAACCAGTTGGACGAATTCTTGTTTGAAACTGACTTCCCCATTCTTAATCGTTTTGTACCAAGCTCTCTTTCTACTTATAAAGTTCTTCAGATCCTTTGTTATTGTTGAGGGTCTTTGCTCCCCCTCCTACTTCCACTCGGTGCCACTGATCACAACGGTGGGGGTTGGGGGGGGGATCTCAGTCCACTATGGGTAGAATCCCATTTCTGGAACCCAGCTTTGCGCCCGTAGCAAGTGAAGTAAACTCGATCCTCCTCGGCTTCCTTTTCAACTGTGTCGGCTGACACGGAAACTCGGGTCCCTCGATCGAGCTTGCCCAACATAATTCACTCCAACATAATATATTGCCAACAAGGTCGCCAACTGATCCCACTGGTACTGTTAGCCTTTAAATTCTATGCCGGTTGGTGAGCAGCCAATACGGTGGTCATTGAGCCTCATGACGTAATTCCTCAAAGCGCACAGTAGCGGCCTTTCTAGTAAGCGAGTCAGTTCCTCCCAGACCTAGCTAGAGGCAGGACCCCTTGGACCTTGGTGAGCTGGATATTTATTCTACCACAACTAATAAAGCCAAGAAGTATTACTTGTGTGTTACTCCAAGACCCTAAGCAAGATCTACACAAAGGAAAGTAATACTAAAGAGAAGGGTCGCAATACTGGTGTGCAGCGAGGTATATTTTTTAACCAGAACCCTCCCCCCCCCCCTCACCAATGTGCCTCTCACGACGCCTCAGCAAGCTCAAGCCATCAACCACAGCTACACTTATTTTTCATCGATATTCTTACCAGTCCTGGGTCGTACCATCAACTATTGCACCAGCTCAACATCTCCAAGTAAGGCAGTTATTTTCCAACAAGAACATTACTACATCCAGGGAGAAGGAAGAGACTAGCTCCCCCGCCATTTTGAATTTCAAACGTCCAGTGACGCTTCAGTCTACTCGCCCAGATAATTTTCGTTGGTGCTCCCTAGCTATTGTTATCGCCGCCGCCAAGTGTCAACTCCAGCATTTTCTGCATTGTACTGGATAGAATATCTGTCCACATTTCAACATTCATCTGTGGTATCATCGCCGTCGTCCTCCCATGACGTCACAACGGCCCATGACGTCACAGCAGTACATGACGTCAGCTCTGCTGCAGGGAACTACCGCCAGGAGTCCTCCCTCTCGCCCAGATGTAAATGTTCCGAACTATAATGGAAACTGACCCAACTATGGGATGGGTTAACCCAAGTAACAGGTACTGTGAGAGAGAACTCTATCAACATCAGAGGCCCGAGACTGTTCAACACGCTTCCACTACATATAAGGGGCATAACTGGCAGACCCCTCACAGTGTTCAAGAGAGAACTGGATAAGCACCTCCAAAGGATACCTGATCAACCAGGCTGTGACTCATACGTCAGGCTGCGAGCAGTCGCGTCCAACAGCCTTGTTGATCAGTCCAGCAACCAGGAGGCCTGGTCGAAGACCGGGCCGAGGGGACGCTAAGCCCCGGAAGCACCTCAAGGTAACCTCAAGATAAGTATCACGTTTTCAAAATGCTCACCCATGTTGGAATAGACGAACGCCGAAAGAATATTGTTGAAAACATCTTGATAACTTATTAAACCAAAATTATTTATAAGTCAGAAGAAAGACAGAAATAGGATCTATATGTAAAACCTCTACCAGACAAATATTTTAAGTAAAACCGAAGATATTTGTAATTGTATAAAAGTGGCAGTTTTCATCATTCGTCAAGCTCGAACCCTGCAGCATTCATCTAAGAACAATGCCTATTTCACGCATATTCGTTAATAAACGTTAACGTTTTATATGTCGCAAGAAAGATAGAAATATAAGCTTCATTTTAAATAGCTTGCCATGGACATATTTAAAGCGAAGATATGTGTATTTTTATAATCGGCGTGCTCCTACCCCAGACAGATCGATCGACGGAGCAGCTCTCACTCTCAGAACAATGTTTAATTCACGTGAATTCGTTAATAAACATATATGTTTTATATGCCTCAAGAAAGATAGGTATATAAGGTTCATTTTAAACACTTTACTATAGACATAATTTAAGTTCTAATGAAGATTCACGTGTTTTAATAATCGCCGAGCTCCGACCCCCTCACAGACTGATCGACAGAGCAACTCTCTCAGAAAAATATTTCATGTAAATTCTTTAATAAACAAAAATGTTTTATATGTCTTAAGAAAGATAAAAATATAAGCTTTATTTTAAATACATTACAAAAGACATATTTAAAGCTCAAGTGAAGATACATATGTTTTTATAGTAGCGTTCAGTAGCTTGTCCGGCATGGGGCGACTCTCGCCCCATCTATTGGAGATTCTGTCCACCTAAAGACCCAAAGCTACTCAAACCCTACTAGCATTACGTACGTAACGAATAAATATGGTATATTTACTCACTATAATGTGGGTGCTGAATGCAGAACATGAGAAAACATATTTACTCCAAAATATTATAATTTCATTATGAAATAAGTAAATAAGTGGCATCAAAGGAAGTCGATGGTCCAAGCGTCAATGT